GTCAACGGGAGGCGCTATATAAATCCAGAATTATTATTATTATTATTATTCTTTCTAAAAATTTGAATCGACTCTAGAACTGAGTTGCATCAAATTCACAGTAAAATTTCAATTTTGTCCTTGAGCAAGGCTCTTTAATATCATGATTGCGTTTGTCCATCATGGGTAGCCGGTGAGGTTGCTTGCTACTGATACAGCTACAACACTTGGGCATGTGGAACCAATATCCAGAGATATATATATATATGTATTCTAAAAAGGGAATTCACTATTTAATGCTTGCTTATGCATATATAAGCACTAGAAATATATCGAGATTTCGAAGCTAATAAATTGCATTAAAATTTTACATGAAAGAACGAAAAAATTACAAATAATTATTAGAAAAATTGATATACATCTGTTTAGTTTTTTTTTTTTAATTCCTTTATTATATTATATTTTATATTTCAAGTTAATAATTTCAAAAAAATAATATCATTTACATTTTCTACATAAAAAATGAATATGTTACTATATTTATTCTTGCAGGGTCTTAGGATTCCGATTTGCTCCACTTGTAGTTGGTAGAGTAGTCAATTTGACCAAAGAAATTATTCCTGTTGCAACTGAAGAATTCTTGAAAACATTTACGAAAAGAGGTAAGGTTTTCTGGGGATTCCTCCAGAAATTAATTAATTTTTAAAATTTATTTTGCAATCTCATTCAACAGTGGGAATGGACAGGTGAAATGCTAAAACATAAATGAGCATAAGAAAATACTTTTAAAATCTTTATGATTTTGCAACTAAAACATTTAAAACTATCAAAGAAATGGTCAATAGAATTTTCTATTTCCACACAATTATTCAACAGGTGACTAATACGAGAAACAAAACCATTTTTGTTAACATTGACTCTACAATACGGGACAAAACAGATTACATTTAGAATAACGAGTACAGCAACAAACAGCTTTTATGAAAGGAGAACGGAGACATCTTAATGTTTAAAATTTATTATCGCAATCATCAATGTCGGCGTTATCATTATCATTGCTGTGTGTGTGGTCATTATTTTCATCATCTTCAACGTCATCATGTAATATCATCCTTATCCTCATCATCATTACCAACACCATTATAAAGATAATCTCCATTGTACTCATCACCATCATTATCATAATTGTTGTCAGATCTCATTATTATGATCATCTTTGCTTTGTCATTGTCTTCTTTGTCGTTGTCATTATCATTATCATCATCTATCATCATTGTACTTAATTCTCAATTCTTATGACTCTAAGTCTACATACTGATACGGCTCTATAGTAATAGTATTGCGGTACAGACGATAAACTATTGATGTGGTGGTTTTGGCTACACATAAATCTTCCTTGGTTGAGTGAAGACAATCGTACAAGATCAAATTTAATAATACCTTCATTGATTTTTTATAAATACATGTATTAAGTATTCTTTTGGTTTTTATTTTGTTTCCGGTTGTTTTGTTAGCATAATATTATGTTTTTACTTTGAAACATCTGCAGATGAATAATTTCAAGAAACATCTATTGATTGGTATCTAGATTCCCCTCCAACATATCCTTCCACACACCTGTTTCCTCATACTGTCCACAATCTTCTTTACCCACTCGGAAGTAGTTATTGATGATGTCTCATGGTGAAAGTAAATTATTTAATATTTACAAATGTTAAAAAGAACCAATGTATAGCTGATCCTACTGTAACCAAATAAGATCTGTAATTTAACTGAATATTATTTGTGTAAGAAATGTGGGGGTTCAGTGATATGTTTTAAAATCTGGAGGGTATTTATTACTAAATAAGAACTGGATTTGCCAAATTCATTTTTTCTATTTTTAATGACGTGCTTATGTTATACACACATTTGTATGTATATGTTGGATATAAAGCCAAATAATAATGCCTTATTTATGCATTCAATTTGAGTACAAACATTACTTTTTTAAATATTAAATTTAAAATGTTTAAATATATAAGACTGTTCTTTTTAATGCAAGTGTTTTCAACATTTGGCTGCAATGGTTATTTATACAAGAATAAAAAAAAAACATAAGTACTGCTGAACTGCATAGTAAAGTATGCTACAAGTACCTTAAAATAGATGTTGAATGCTAAAGAACTTGGGGGTAATTAATATCTATAATGATTATCTCATTAAGGAGTGGGCCTAATCTAGCAAATCTACAGGCTTAATTTAATGTATTGGTTATCTTCAGATACAGTATTATATCTTATTAGGTTTGTCTAATTTAATATCTCCAAATGCTTGTAAAACTAATGTCATTTACATCACTCCACAGGAAGATTTTTTTTATTATTAGTCTCAAGAATCTCAAAAGATTAGCTCTACTGAAAAAAATAATTAACTGTGAGATCATTCTCTTATTTTTGCCTCTCTGGATCAAAAACACAGCATGTTTAGTTTATTAATGAATGCATTTTTCAATCATGATTTCTAGATGGTGACACATGTTTTTATGGAAAATGTTTTTACTGCACGCCGCTTGAGTCTGCTTGTGCTGATGGCGATTTAATGGAAGGTTCAGTGACATTGTGGCTGCCAAAGAAATTGGCACTGCGACGTTGGCGCCACCCATGGAGTAGAACATACAGAGAAGGTATTCAGGCAAGGTAAAGTTGTACAAAGAAATATAGATAAATTTTTTTTTCTATATTAAAAATTATCTTTATGATAAAAAACAATGTCACTCAGCCATTGTTGGGTCCAAGAATTTTAAAATAGTGGACCAAGGAGAGAATTTTTACACATGGAAGATCCAGACTACCTCAGTCCCACCATGATTTTTTGTACATGTAGATGCCTAGAAGTGACACTCTCAATTTTTGTTGGAGAGGGTGACTGCTAGGACCCGCTTCTATCATTTGCTATTGTAATCATTCCAATCTTTTTATTTTTTAAAAATTTATTCTCTTCAGACTTTTTAGCTGTCACATAGCATTCCAATCATAATACACTAAATAATCGGTAACATCTGATGTCTTGGTGGCAGTATTTGCCGCAACACATTAATGATTCCTCAACTCTAAGAGATGGCAAGATACTACGTATTCATGTACCATAAATATAACCATTGTTTTACATTACATACCAATTTAAAAAGTATAATACATACTCCAAGTATTGAAATACACGCCATCGTGTTGGGATTCAATATTTCGACATTAATTATGTCATCATCAGGAATTTAATGTATAAATGTGAGTAATAATGACTTACACAGAAGTTTGAAAATTAAGGAAAAAAAAAAATGTTCATTATAAATGCTGAATATCCTCCTTTTAACATTATTCCGAGACAGATTTTCCTAATAAAGAAATCAAATCAAAAAAGCACAAGTGTAGTATAATATGAAATTATTTTCAAATTATCAACAGATGACAGTCTGCACAGCATTGGCAACTGAGGGCACTATTCATAAAACTGCTGTACAATTTGGAAAATGAATTTAATACTCTGTCTGATCTTAATGCTGTGCATTTCCATTATAAGAGGAGAAACTACCTATTGCTAACTCATAAAGCAGGGGCGGATTCAGTAGGGGGCATGGGGAGCATGTGCCCCTTCCCCCCACGTTTTGCCAGTAAATTTTTAATTTTCAATGCAAATCAATGTTATGCTCATTTACCTATTCTGAAACTGTTGTTTCAGAATAGTGATGCCACTGCACTTGTTCACCTCCCAGATGTGATATATGTTAACATTCGCTTCTTCATTCATTTTTCAAATTTGTTCATAATTTAATATATTAAGTTGATATTTTGAACTCCACACTTTTTGCCCAGGGTGATTATACTCTTTTCCCATAGTAGTTGTAAATATATATAATACCTGGCCTGTATTGCAGTAAAGCATGATAGCTCTTTCCTATAGAAATCAGTAAAATTATCATCCAGAGTATCATAAAATAGAGCTTAATGTGATAAAATATTGTGTTCATCTTTCGTTAATTCACTATGCTTTTGTAATCTATAATCATTCTGATACAATATATATAGCTACATTATCTAAGTGGCTGGGGTTAGTGGAAAGTTCTATTGTTTATTTCACTATTGATGTTCATTTTGGCATGTGTAAAAATCTATAGATGTACTTATTCTATTTTGAGGCAAACTTTAGTTTAGATACTTTACAGACAGTATACTGTAGTACTCGGACCATGTATGAATCTGCATGAAGGTATTAGAAAACTGTCTTAGTTTTAAATTATAAATATGCCTATACAGTATGTTCTACATTTATACATTTTCTATTGTACATGCCTATTTAGTTTAAACTGTCCATTTATGTCACTGTCAGGGTAGGCTATATATCTACAGGCTACATCTAGTTACTACCTCTGCTTTAATTGCAGAGATGTCTGACTTTAAGAGTTTCTCTGATCGATGTTTGTTAGATCACAATAGAAAAGGAGAGGTTATAAAAGACAGTGGATTATATGCATGCAGTGGATAAATGTGATGGCAGTTGAAGAAGTCACTGATCATGTACAGATGATTGACCTATTTCAACTAATGTAAATGATATGAAAATGGCTACACCAATCAATTCACGATTTAGAAAAGTACCGCATTTAAAGGTAGAGCAACATACTAGGGCATATAGGTCACACTGGTGGAATATTCTACAGTAGTAGTAGTGCGATTTTTTTTTTGGTGAAGATATAGAAATCATAATTATTTAATTGGCTTTATTTAATTTTTTATTCAATAAATTTGGAATATGGAATACTATTTAAAGCTTTATAAATAAATAAAAGACTTTGGAATGGCTTTGTTTTTTATTTATAATCATGAGAAAAAATTCTTGGTTTTGTATTAAGGTAAATCCTCAACCAGGGGTTGGAAGCATTGCACCCTCACCATTAAATGACTCAACTTTAAAATGTGTTAATGTTCCTATAATGTTTGAATGTTGTCATGTTCATGTATTTCTTTTTTTCTTCTTTGAAGTCATGTAGAATGATTAAGTACTTTACACAATGCCCCAAGCCAATTTGCATGTCTCCAAATTGGTTAAATGTTTTACATTTGCATTTTAATTAATTGATAAATCAATATTATCTGTTACTTATCAAAGCCTAAATTACGTTTCATGACTCAAGTGTCAAACTGTGGGTATATTAGTATTATTTAAAATACTTAATAAAATTGAAAATTAACATTAAACATCTGCTTGCATTAATTAAATCAAGCTAAAAGTGGTAATCTAAAACTGATAGTGCTTTGAGGGATATTCTATTTTGAATCAAATTTGCCTTAATGTTTTTTACCATACCTAAAAGACAGTATTAAACAACCAATTTCTTTATGTAATAACTAATATTAAACAAGCAAATCAGATACTGTAAGCCTGTATCAACAAATGTATACCATATCCAGTCCAATCTAATCCATCCAGGCCGATTCATGCCTATTTATACTGTTATTGCACTCCTTACAAAATATGGTTGAAAGTAAATCATTAATTACCATACTTTGGTGTTGTGCTTTCTCTCTTTTTTTTATAATTATAATGAGTACATGTTATGCTTTGCAGTAAAAACACCACCTTCACACCACTTTAACTTTTAAAGTGAGAAAAATCACAAATGTATGGGCCAGATCTACTGTAATGAAACAAAACAAAACATATTTTTCTGAAAGCTGAAGATTACTGTACTTTAAATTTCCCACATGTGTTGTAATAGTTAAATAATAACCTGAATTATTGGAACCAGCCTGAACAAATTTATATTTTCACTACCTCTCAAAAGACACGTTATAATTCATTCATATTTTATCTATATTATGAATAATTTACTTAATTTCCTAGAAAAAAAATGTCTTTTTTCTATTCTGTAGTTTATGGATATTAAAATAGATTTAAAAAAAACCAATATAAAGCCTACATTTAATAGGCCTAAAAAATAAGCAAATTCATAGAAACTCTAAACCATAATTAACATTCAGATATGTTTGAGAAATACATATTATTACGCTACATTATTATATGTGTTGAGTTTTTATTGGATGCTAAAGCTCAAATTGTATAAATTTGTAACAGTGGCAATAAAGCAATAATTGCTAATTTATTTGTGTTTCTCTACATGTATGACATCAGATATTGAAGTTAGAGCTTTATGAAGCTGAATGACAGTAGGTAACTATAGCCCTTAAACAGCAAAAGTTAAAGTTTTTTAGATTATAATTTCACGCTTAATGCTGATTTCCAGTGACAGTGGTGGCTCCAGAAATTTGTTGACAAATCCCATAGGAGTCTAAAGCAAGAGTTCAATTAAAGCCTTGGTCAGGGTACCGGAATAATACCCCTGGTGGAATTAATAGGATGTATGGTTGAGGATGACGCAAAATTGTCCTTTATTATTCTAGGGATTTCAATCAAACTTTGGTTGGAAGGTGTTTTTTTTTTTTTTTTGGAGGTGGGGTTCCAGATGTATCTGTAAACAAAATTAGAGCTTACTGTACTATATTTCTTATGGTGATCCATATTGAATATAACACAACTACGCAATAATGGTGGCTTAACATTTTCCTAACATCAATTGCTCTGCCATTCCGACAACATTGGCCTTTACGTACACTACAGAACATTGCTTTTCTTGTCTACTTCATGAATGAATACATTATTCGAATTCCTCCATTGTTTGGAAACATAATACTAAAAATGGTGTATATATACTTTCAAGGTTTTGTTGGCTTTTATAGTATTCCAGTTTAACAGAAATAGAAGTAATATGTATTTAGGCAAGAAGTTAAAAACTGGGACGAGCATTGTACATTAAATTAAAGGCAGCACCAATTATACTTCTTTGGAAGTTGAATGAATGCTCTACTTAAGTTGTTCCTTCACATACTGTATAGTGCAATTTTGTGCCGTTGTCGAGCGGCATGAGAAAACACAATTGACGCAAGTTAACAACAATAAATAAGATTTGCAAATTGTTTGATGGAATGGTTTTTAGAAATTAAATTTACATAATGCAGTTTATAGACACCAGGCACCTACTCCATTAAGAAAAAAAAATGCCTTTACTAGTTCCACAATACTTTTTCTATTTTGATAATTCATAACATTCAGATTTTGTTGTTTTAGAATATAGAGCAAAATTAGTAATAGTATTTGAATGTTTTCTTTGTTTAATTTCATTTCAACAGTAAAATGAAGAAATTTAATAAAAATGAACTGCCATACTATGATTATTTAATAGCTTGTTAAACCAATACCAGAATTAACTAGGTTAGGTGAGTGCAATATTAATCCTGCAAGATGAATCTTTAAAAACAGGTTCGTAGCTCAGTTTTGTTGTATTGTTGGAAAATTATTGAATGCAAAAAGTTAAATATATATGAATAAATGATTATCAATAATTATTAAGTATTGTAATTATTGACAGATGTTTGGTCTTCATCAACTTAACTGGAAGATGGTTCATGGGGCGTGTCAGGCAGCACTACACTTAATTGGCTTCAACATAGTTTTTCTGGTAATCGCTCATCGCAGATGGTCAATCCTTTGCGTAATTAGGTACTGAATTAGCCCTTTTATATTGTAAAGGGTTTCTTCAGCTTTCCGTAATGCAATAACGATTTTTTACTACTAATACTCAGAG